GAGCTAGAACTATTAAAGAAACGATTTCTTCTGAGTTTTTGCTCTGTCTTAGGGTTCTGAAAGTGAGTTCTCTTCTTAGGACGGCGTCCAACACATCCTTATAAGTTAGAAACCCTAATCCTTGTGAAAAGAGACTTTTTCCGAGTATTGACTCGGTCCGAGTCAGAATTCTGACTCGGTCGAGTCAGAACGAATCAACCCAAGCCCATTGTCAACTCTTGACTCGGCCCATTTAGTATTGACTCGGTCTCCGAGTCAGAATCTGACTCGATCGAGTCAGAACGAATCAGCCCAAGTCCATTGTCTACTCTTGACTCGGCCCATTGAGTATTGACTCGGTCCGAGTCAAAACCTTGACTCGACCGAGTCAAAACATCAGCCAAGCCCAAAACACTTTCTGGGCTTCGACTCACATGGAACTGACTCGGTCCGAGTCAGAAGGTTGAAAACGTCCCGACACTCTGATTTGATCCGAAAACCGTTTTACCGACCAAATCCAAGTCTTCCTTTCCGATACTTCACATATAAGTCCATCCCTAATGGTGTGTGACCCTGTAGGCCCATTCGCAGTGGCAGCGACCTCGAGATCCATTCCCGATCTACAAGTCATGGTTAGCCTCTAACCAGACGCCATGACTACCCACGTTGAATTGAGTTAGAGTTGATCTAACCAAGGTAGTAACAGTTCGAGTTCTGATCCTTTGTCTCACGATATCATATGTTGAACAAGGGCATGGTTTGAGCCACCCTTCAAGTTCAACTGCTTTCTCGTCTTGGCAAATCAACTAATAAAATAGATGCAACTTCATCTATAGCGTGGCCACGCGTTTTTATAGTCCGATTTCCACTGAGAGGGCCCAGCGATATCTCTCCTGTTAAGGAGATGACAAGTCCCATATTGCACGTCTACTATCTCTATATGATTCGTGAATGTATCTGATCAATGCCGTTATAATCATCCTGTTAAAGACGACGTTTGACGCAGTCAAGACACGCTACTCCTCATATCAGATACTCTAGACATCTCAGGTCTGAGGATCCAAGAACGAACCGCTGTATGAGATTCAAGTCATGACTCTGTCCATGTGACAATCTCATGCGGGTGATCCAGTCACTCGTTCACAACGAGTACCCATGATTGTGATATGCATCCAATGCATCAATCACACCTCATGCTAGTCTTAATTCATCATTGTTCCCACAATGATAACTGACCAGGAAGTTTAGAATCATTCTCTAATGATTCAAGGATACCGAAATATAACAAACATGCCAATCATATAACGGGAAGAGTAATGCATTCATGAACCAATGAATCAATACAAAGTCAAAGTATCATATCACGGATCATCCTAGAGCATCACAACCAACAATCTCCCACTAAGCTCTATGATCTATCCTACAAGTATCTAATCCCCATACCCTTAACATGACCATCATGTTTTGACGAAGTGAGAGGCTTCGTCAATGGGTCGGCAATATTATCATCTGTCGACACTCTGCTTATCTTCACGTCTCCTCTCTCGATGATTTCTCTAATCAAGTGAAATCGCCTGAGTATGTGTTTGGATCTCTGATGTGACCGGGGTTCCTTAGCTTGCGCAATCGCACCATTGTTGTCACAATACAACTCAATGGGATCTGCAATGCTAGGAACGACGTCCAGGTCTTCCACGAATTTCCTGATCCAAACAGCTTCCTTAGTTGCATCCGATGTTGCTATGTATTCGGCTTCTGTAGTCGAATCTGCCACGGTTGGCTATTTGGAACTCTTCCAACTGATAGCCCCACCGTTCAGGCAGAAAACATAACCTGACTGGGATCTGAAGTCATCTCTGTCGGTTTGGAAACTAGCATCAGTATAACCACTTATAGCGAACTCGTCTTCCAATCCGCCATACACCAAGAACAAATCCTTAGTCCTTCTCAAGTACTTAAGGATGTTCTTGACCGCAATCCAGTGAACCTCACCTGGTGTAGACTGATATTTACTAGTCATGCTTAATGCATATGATACATCCGGACGAGTACACAACATGGCGTACATGATGGATCCAATTGCCGAGGCATATGGAATCCTACTCATGCACTCTTGCTCATCCCGTGTCTTTGGACATTGAGTCTTGCTAAGAGCTACGTCATGTCCCATTGGCAAGGCACCCCTCTTGGAGTCTTGCATCTTGAACCGATTCAAGACCTTGTCAATGTATGTACTCTGACTTAGGCCAAGAAGCCCTCTAGATCTATCTCTATAGATCTTGATTCCTAGAATATAGGCGGCTTCTCCAAATTCCTTCATCGAAAAGACTGATCCTAGCCAGGATTTCACTCCTTGCAAAGTAGTAACATCATTTCCGATGAGCAATATATCATCTACATAAAGCACAAAGAAGACCACTGCGCTCCCATTGACCTTCTTGTAAACGCATGGCTTATCTTCGTTTTGCAGGAAGCCAAACGCTTTGACTGCCTCGTCAAATCGAAGATTACAGCTCCTCGAAGTCTGCTTCAGTCCATAAATGGATCTCTGAATCTTGCATACCTTCCTCGGACTCTTAGGATCGACAAAACCCTCGGGTTGTGTCATGTACACATCCTCGAGCAAATTCCCGTTAAGGAATGCGGTCTTAACATCCATCTGCCATATCTCGTAGTCATAATATGCAGCTATGGCCAGCAGAATTTGTATGGATTTAAGCATCACAACTGGTGAAAAGGTTTCATCATAGTCTATACCATGAATCTGCCGACACCCTTTCGCGACGAGACGTGCCTTATAGGTATGCACGATGCCATCTATGTCGGTTTTCTTCTTGAAAACCCACTTGCATCCAATGGTCTTAATACCATCGAACGAATCGACCAAAGTCCATACTTTGTTGTCGTACATGGACTACATCTCAGACTCCATGGCCTGGTGCCATTTCTCGGAATCCGAACTCGCCACAGCCTCTGAATACGACGTAGGCTCGTCATGTTCTAACAACATGAGTTCGTCGTTTCCTGTCACAAGAAATCCGTATCTTGTAGGCTCTTGGCGAATTCTACCAGATCTCCGAGGTTCACTAGTAGGTCTTGTCTCAACAACTTGTGACACAAGTTGAACTGATTCGACCTGTTCACTCGGTTCCTCGACTATTTATGGTTCTTGAACTTCTTCGAGATCTATTCTACTCCCACTAACTCTCTTGGAGACGAACTCTCTCTCCAAGAAAGATCCATTCCGAGCAACAAACACTTTGTTCTCGGATGGGTTGTAGAACCAGTATCTTTTTTTTTTCTTAGGGTATCCCACAAATATGCATTTATCAGATTTGACGGATAGCTTATCAGAAGCCAGACGTTTCACGTAAACGTCGCATCCCCAAATCTTCATAAACGCTAACATGGGACGCTTCCCAATCCATATCTCATATGGTGTCTTCTGAACCGACTTTGTTGGACAGTTGTTCAGTATAAGCGCAGCCGTTTCCAAGGCGTAACCCCAAAAGGATTTAGGAAGATCGACCTGACTCATCATAGACCGTACTACATCTAATAGGGTCCGGTTCCTCCTCTCAGACACGCCATTCCACTGTGGCGTTCCAGTGGAGTCAGCTGTGAGACAATTCCACAATCTGCCAGATAGTCAGTGAACTCTTGGCTCATATACTCACCACCTCGATCAGATCGAAGCAACTTGATCATCTTGTCAAGTTGGTTCTGCACCTCGTTTCTGAAAGTCTTGAACAATTCAAGCGTTTCAGACTTATGTCTCATCAAGTAGACATAACCGTACCTACTGAAATCATCAGTAAACGTAACAAAGTACAGATAACCTCCTCTAGCGGGCGAGCTTATAGGACCGCACACATCACTATGTATGAGCTCTAGAAACTCCGTAGCCCGTTCTCCTTTTCTAGTAAAAGGAGATTTTGTCATCTTGCCCATCAAACAAGAATCGCACGATTCAATTGACTCATAATCAAAAGAATCAAGAAGTCCATCAGAATGAAGCTTCGCTATG